GGCTCCCGTTCACAGCTCCCGTTCACGGCTCCCGTTCACGGCTCTGTTCATGGCTCCCGTTCACGACTCCCGTTCGCGGCTCCGTTCACGGCTCCCGTTCACGACTCCCGTTCACGACTCCCGTTCACGGCTCCGTTCACGGCTCCCGTTCACGGCTCCGTTCACGGCTCCCGTTCACGGCTCCCGTTCACGGCTCTGTTCATGGCTCCCGTTCGCGGCTCCCGTTCGCGGCTCCCGTTCACGGCTCCCGTTCACGGCTCCCGTTGGCGGCTCCGCTCGGGGCTCCGGGTCGCGCCGCGGCCGGGGCAGCGCGCTGAGGGCACGAGGCAGCTCGGGCTCCGGCGCGGTTACCACAGAGCTTTATCGCGGCGCGAGGCCACAGGGCATCGAGTCACAGTTCTGTGGAAAAACGGGCCCCCCACGGGAGAAAAAGGGGGAAAAAACCGTTTTCACGACGTAATTCCCTCCAGACCCCCCCAAAAAAAAAGAAAAAAAAAAAAGAAAAACGCCCCTACATTCGTTACAGGGCGCGTGGGTGACACCGAGGGGACCGGGACACCCCGGCCACCCTGTCCCTGCCCTTCCCGTTGGGCAAGGGCGGGAGCCGTCCGTGAGGATGAGGGGCGGCCATGGCCACGTGGGGCCTGGGGGCTGCGACGTGGGGCCCTCCGGCCGCCCCTGGATCCTCCGGCCACCCCCGGATCCTCTGGCCGCCCCCGGATCCTCCGGCCGCCCCGTGGCCTGCCAGCCACCCCCGCCTCCCCGTTGTGCCACCGTGGGCGCACGGGCAGGGCTCCGCTCCGGGCGCTGATCTCATGGCGAGCGCAGCCGCCTGTGACCCCCTGCGGACCCAGACGTCACCCTGGACCAAACCCGGGAAACCCGCAGCCGGGGGGTGTTCGGGGCGGGCAGCAGCGGGGCCCTGCGTGTCCCCCCAGGCCGCCACGGCAGCGGGGCACAAGCCCCGGGCCCCAGGGCCTCACGGGCGCAGAGCAGCGGGGCCGCCCTGCATGGGCAGTGACCATCGATGCCGCTGTCCCTCCCTCCTCTGGGGAGCAGGAGCTGTCCCCAAGCTCCCCGGCGCCGTCACCCGCTCCCCGGGGCAGCACGAAGGCCGAGCGATGGCGAAGAGGAAGGTTCCCGCTGCCATGCAGGACGTGGAGCTCTGGCTCCCGTCAGTTCTTCAGGGAGTGCAACCCCGCGGCTCCTCGGCGCGGAGGTAACCGCAGCGCACAGCGCGGGCAGCGGCGCCCTGCACGAGGCGGCCTCGCGCGGGCACGCCTGTTCTCGCCCCGGCACGGCCTGCAGACGTGCTCCAGGTGAGCGGTGTTACCTCGCACGTGCAACGGTCGTCTCAAAAACACAGGGTGCCTGGGCGAGGCCAACGTTTGGGACGAACCCACCGCAAAAAATAAAAGATGAAATAAAACGGCCCGGGCTCCCCGCCGCGTCGGGACCAAGCACAGCTCCACCTGCAGCGTTCATCCACCGACATCCTTTACTTCCTGCACCAAGGCTGAACAATTTCAGACACCCCAGGTAAGGGGAAGGGAAAGGTCCCAGTCTGGGCGCTCAGTCGCCGGCAGCTGCTCGGTTTGGGCTGAGGCAGAGCCCGAGGTGGGTGCAGAGCAGAGYGGGGCGCCTCGGGCCGCACCCGGCCCCGGTTCCCCCCTCCAACCACGTTTGTCCTGGGCATGGCCGGCACTGGGGATGGAGCCCCCTCCAGCCTCCGCTCCCAGCAGCTGCTCCGCGCATCCCGAGGGAGGAACGGCGTTTCTCCCGTTGGGTGAAGCCCCTTTCCCGCCGTGCCGGGCGGCTCCRCGCGCACCCCACGGCTCCCAGCCCTCCGTGCAGCGCTGCCGCGCGCCGCGACCGCAGCCCGCGGGGACTGAAGGGCCCTCTCCCATCCCGAGCACGGAGCAACGCTCCTCGCGCCGCGCACGAGCTGCCAAGTAGCTACTGAAAGGGGAGTTTCCTTAGATTTTGGACAGACTACTCTGGTAAATAGAGGATTAGATCTAATGGCAGGAGCTTGCAAGAAGCCCAGCGTGTCCCCCGGGAGCAGCAGGGCCCAGAGCCCCGAGTGCCTGCGGCCGCGGGGGGCAGGTTGGGTCCCCGCTTCCAGGTGAGAAACCATCTCGGCTCATGCAGGTCCTCGCCAGGGTCACCACGGCACAGAGGGGAAGAGCTTCCCACCAGCCCCGGCACCTCCYGGGACCCGAATTATCCAGAGCTGAGCGGAGGCCGGATCAGAGGGGATGGAGCCCCTAGAGCCCGGCCCCACTTCCATGCTCCTCCACACGGAATCCTGGGGATGGACTGAAGAGGGAAGGATGGGAATGGAGACATCTCTGACACTCCCTAGAACAAGGCCTACACGCAAGACCCAACTGGCTCCCTCTGCTCTACAGGACTTCTCGATCCCAGGGGGATCGCTGGGRAACTGAAGCCCCCGGTGCACAGCAGCGTTCAGACCAGGCTTCTCCTGCCGGGTGCCCCCCGCTTCTCTCCTCCGTACCCCCCGAAAGCAAACCCTCCCCAGCACAGACATCCAAAGCAGCAATTTTCCAACAGGCAGCACGAGTCTCCCAGCTTTTTGTCCAACACAGAGTCCGCAAACACAAGGGAGCCTGGCGCAATCCGGAGCTTCCGCCGGCGCCTCCAGCGCGCGGCCGCGCGTGCGTCTCCCTGGCGGCGGGCGGACACGAGCGAAGCCGGTGTCCCGTGACCCCCGTTGCTTCTCCATGGGATCCACCCGTGAACACGCGTGGTGCTGAGGGCTCCGGGCGCATGCAGTGCGTGGGCAAACACCGCCGGGGGCGGCGCAGAGCGGGGCCGCTCCGCGCRGCGACGCTGCTCCACGCAGACGCGCAGTTCTCCTCCGTCCACGCGTGGAGCGGCCGCTGTTGGGCGCAGACTCCGGGGCGATGCAGAGCGGCGYGTGCTGGAGGCCGAAGCCATCGCGCAGCCGGAGGGCCGGGGCCTCCACATCCGCGAGCCRGGAACCGTCGGCTTCCCCCACGCAGCGTCACAGGCAAGAGAAGTCACTGGCGAGCGTGGAATCCATGAAAACTGGCAGGGCTGCTTTGGACTATCGTAACATGGGAGTGACTCTATTCAATGGCCTTTAATACAGTGCATTTACATAGCACCTTTCATCCCAGGGCTTAAGTGCTTTAACGGAAGTGGGTACCGCTCACCCATCAGAAACAGAGGGAAACAGAGGCACCGAGCGGTTCCGTGACTTGCCTTGGGTCACTTGGGGACTGCAGCAGAGCCTGGAYGGCCTCAACCCTCCCGACTCCGGTGCTTGGCTGGACCACACTCAAAGGAAGCCACTCCGGCCCCTGGCCTCCCCAGCACCCTGCTCCTACCAAGTCTCCCGTGAGGTCTCATGCTCCTTTCTGATGT